TTCCCTCCCCTCTCGGAATGTTTGCCTATCTACTATGCGGTCTAACACATTCATTATAGTTTCGTTCTTTATTTGCTAAATCTTCTGTTTTAGTGTTCCTCGCTCAGCTACCCGGTGCCCAATGTTAACGCACGCGGCCCTACGCTGTATTAAATTTTATTTGCATTCATTGTAAATTTCAGCGGTCATTCCTAATTTCAGTAAATTCAGTTAGGGGCAAAACGTGAAAATTCCAGGCTCTCAAGTAGAATCAGAAAACTTCAGAAAACCACTACCTTGCTTAAATTTTCTTTACTCTGCTAGCTCAAGCGCATTTCTTAGAGTGGGGGGAGTCACAAGCAGGAAGCCAACACGGTAGTGAGTGATTCAGTAGTAGCTGCTCGGGCGCCTTTTTGGTTGGACCGAGGATGCGCTCCAGCTCCCGCTCGGCCGAGCAGTGAGTTCCAAGTCCGGGACAGCGACTCTTTGAGACTCTTCTAGATTCGGAATTCTAACTCAGCGAAAGCTGCCACGGTCGGCCACGCCTTCAAGTAGAGCGTGCTTTGCCGCCGTCTAGGGTTGGAAGCCCTGGAAACTTTCCTGAAAATTTCCGAAAAAATCAGAAAATTTCCGGGAAAAACAGGAAAATTTCCCAGATTTCAGAAAATTGCCGTTCTTTTCGGAAATTTTCGGAAATTTTCGGAAATTTTTCTCGAAATTTTGGAAAATTTGCAACCCTACCGCCGTCCTTGCATCAGGGGGCGGAAATCCACCCCAGCAACCTGAGAGGCTCATCGTCGGTCCGATGGCCGGGGCGCACACCGCGAGAGCGTGCCTCCTGGCTCTCACCGCCACCGCCTGGGTAAGTCCGCGCATTAATCGCCGAAGGGACTGGGCAGGGTCACACGGACAAACAAATATTAAAACTAACTCTCGCGTAAGCAGTTGATGATACTAAAAAGATGAATATAGTTATGTTCGCAAAGCACTAGTCGGGTCTTGTTTTCAGGAAATCCGTCATATTTGACATCCTCATAGCAATTTCCGAAGATTAACCATTTCGTCGCCGAAAACTCGTTACTGTACATTTTCATTGAAACTGTGTTCGGGCATACCGATTTTAAAATGGAACACCCTGTTTTCGGGGGGCAGCTGGCCCCCTCCAGGTCGCAGCAGCTGGAGGACGCGCTGCCCGCCCTCAGCCCGCTAGCTAGCCTCAACCTCGACGAGCATGGCCCCGGCAGGCAGTGTGCGCAGGACACGAGGGCCCTTGTGGCCGCGGTGCGCAACCGGACGCTGTGGGCGGTGAGAAGTAAGTGAAGCCAAACTCTTGGTACTGAACCTTTGTCAATCGCGCTGACGCCAGCAAACGAGCACAAGCAAAACACCGCTACCTTCTCCAGTGCTGGACGCGAGCGCGCGCGTCTCCTCCGGGGTGCTGTGGGGTGCGCGCTGCCAGCTAGGAAGCTATGACGGCTGCATAGCCGTGGGCGCCTCCTCGCCCGTGGGCGCGCGCTACTGCCTCGTGAGCGTCAACCACAAGACAGACGGACAGGCTCGGGGCACCTGGGAGACCGTCGAGGACCTACCCCCGTACCAGGACGTCTCCACCGTGCTCAGAGTAGGTTGACCGGCGCTCATATGTCAGTGGGACGTCGTGGGAAAAGAAGTCAAAAGACCACACAACTATTGCTTTAATTGGTTGTTTCCCTTCACCCTTCGGCGCCGCTGTCGTGCTTTACATCGCCGAACCTTACCTTTCTGCTTACCCTCAGGGCGAAGGGATGTTGCCCGGGTCGCTGCCGTTGGGCGACATCCGTATGGGCCTCTGCGTGCCCGCGTCGTGTACAGCCGCCACGCTGCAGGCTGCCCTCCAGGCCGGACTCGACCCGAGCGTCCGCGTCCACGTGGGCCCGGAGAACTGTCAGGAGCACGTGACCGGGGCCTCCCTCTCGACCGGCGCGACCCTCTTCTGGTAGGACGCCGTTCCAGGACGCGGCTTTGTAAAGCCTCAGTGAGTTCGGCACACGCTTGTCGTGCCGCCGTCGCGTGCCACACGTGACATTTGTTTTCATTCATGCAGGGGCCTGGTCGTCGCACTCACCGCCGTGTCCGTGGCCGCGCCTGCCTTGGGTGAGAACAGTAATAATTGAAGTGTGCAACTGGCGTGCACATGAAAGCGCTCAACACTATGTTGCACAATTTTAAGTGTTTGACTGGATATTTGAATACCTAAAAGTGTTAAACAGTAGAGTTGAACACCTACAAGTGTTCAACTACACGGTTGCCCATGCAGCTTTGGAAACTTAAAACTGTTCAAATTTACTGTTAAACAGTTTTAAGTATTCAAATTTCTCTCCAACACCTAAAATTGTTCACCAGTAGTTGAACTTTTCCATATACATGCCAGTTGTACAGCCACTTTTGTTTTCAGTGAAGGTTTCCAAGGACTTGCCGTGCACCTTAGGGCATTTCAAAAAAATCCGAAAAGCCCACATTATTCAATGTGGTCTAAAAAGGCTTCACGTGCGCATACCGGGTCTCAAATTAGAAATCGTTTTGCGAATGTAGTTCTTACATGTTCTTACAATGTTGGAGTCCGACATCCATCCATAAAACCCCAGTCCCCTTCCCCTTCCACACCTCTCACCACCGGTCACCTGCCAGGGCCCAGCCACAGGCTCATCTTTGGCCTACGACTTCCATTCAAATTTCATTGGTCTTAGAAAAACAGGGAGCATAGAGTGAAATAGGCATTT